TCAGAATTCCCCCATGCCCCACTTACTTGTGGCTGCCTGAAATGTCTGTTCCAGGACAGCAGGCAGGGAGGGGTTAACCTGCCTGCCCAGCCACTGCTGCCAGCCTGCTGCTCTTCTCTGGGCTGAACCTGCCTAGACAGCAGCAACAATGGCGGCTTGACAGGCAGGTTAACCCTTCTGTGCCTGCTCCCCCAGGACAGACAGCACAGGCAGCCACAAGTAAGGAGAGGGAGGGGGGTGGGAATTGAGTAGGGATCTAGGGTGCTTGGGGTGGCAGTGGGCCTGAACTGGGCCAGTGGCAGGGGATAGTCTAGAGTGGCCCTAGAGTGGTTTAATGCTGAACTGCAGAGTGCTTAAAACCAGTTTCAGGTGTCAATGTGTAGACAGTCCAGGTGTTAACAGTCCAAGGAGCTCCAGGAGCCACCCAAAATTACTGTGTAACAAGGCCCTGAGATTCTTGCTTCTGATTTCTTCCTTTTAAGGCCAAAGTCCACAATTTGTTCATAATCCATTTGCTAAAGAATGGAGAGATGAACTTCAGAATATACTTGCAGAACTTATATAGCTTGTCTTCTTCCCTAGCTCTCTGAGATACTTATACTGTGTTGTAAAGGACTCTGAAAATAGAATATTGATATACCAGTACTGGGACAAAATTATTTTTGTTTTGTTGAAATTGTAATTGAAGTTTAATACTTATACAGGGTGGCACATTCAATGTGGCATTTTTCTTTTCCTAAAATTCTTAATTTTAGCTAGATGCTGTTAGTTAACTATTAGTGCGTGATAATGTATATTTTAAAAGCTAACAGTATCTATTTTAACATAGATATCTACACTCTCTCGTGCACAGACGTGCACACGTGCACGCGCGCACACATATACAAGTAGTGTTGGACATACAAAAGCGAGCCATGATCAATTCTATTACCTGATCCTTTGGCCTGCACTGCCCAGCGCTTAGGAAAAAGTTTCCTTTATATTATCATTATCAAAGCTGGCTGAACAATGGAGATGGCCACCAGCTCCATCTTCAAGAACAACCTCCATGCAGCAGATAGGAACAAGAATCCTTCATCAGACTTAATTTCAGGGCTCAACTATTTCCCTTCCTAATTCGAGAACCACCTGTCTTTTCTTCCTTGCAATGTGGTATGAAAGTTCAATAGGCTGCTGGGTGCTGGAAATAAAAAGGAATCTGATATAGTTGTAGGGCTCATGATCTCATATATCTGCTATTCTGTGAAGTCATGTAAGTTTTCCTTACGTGCCCCTCTGAGCACATTGAAGATGTGTACAATAGTGAGTAGGCATTTTAATGGATCAGACTAGTCATCTGGGCAAAAGACGGAATACTTTTAGATGGAAGTATTGTAATTAAATGCTGATGTTCTTGATTTGGTCCACTGAGTTAGTCTGTCATTTATTATTTAATATTTTAATTGCAGTTTCATTTTGCATGAGTGTTACTGGTTAAATAAATGATAGAACCTTCTGTTTTATCTTGACCTGCATATGTTGGAACAGCTAATATTGGCTGAGGTGTGAGCATATTATCTGGCTCTGAAGCTGGAAAAAATACTTTTTCTCTTTGTTTAAAAAATCTGCTGTTAGCATTCTAGGCTTCAGTCTTGTTAATCTATATCTAAGGAAACATTGCAGTGTCTGATTGTAACTACAGTGGTTTTCTCATTGATTCACTGAGAGTTAAAATCCTGCCAGGTGAAGGGACTGAGCAAGAGTTGAGAATTTTCAATGCCTCACAGGATCAGACCCTCTGTGAATCCTCCGGTTATTAAATGGGGAGAATACTACTTATTTTACTGAAGCAGTACAATGTTTAATTAGGTGATTACATCCAACTTTGTCTACAAGGTGCTACAGAAACGAAAAATACTATAGCTTTATCATTCCAAGCACTAATGTGTATGTTCCATATTCAACCAGTTATAATGTCATAAATCACTTAGAAAAGTTACTGTGTAAACAAATCAGGGTTATTACCAGTCTCTCATTTGTGGAGATTACAGTGTTCACCTTGGGCTTGCATTCATTTATGTTAACTTGCCCCTGGTGTTCTAGTCAAAGGTCCCAGTTTTAGCAAAGCACATAAACAATAAACTTAATTTAAGGATGCGTTTAAATCCTGTTGAAGTCAGTGAGATTATGGAACATGCTTTGCTGAATCAGAATGTAAACAAATAGGGACCAATGTAAATCTAAGATTGGTCTTGAAAGCAGAACTAAGAAAAGGAAGACAGACAAAGAAAGAAATGCAAGGCTAACTTTTGTTAGGCACTGCCATACTTCTCCAAATTACAGCACTTAGTAAGAACAGAATGCATTTTCTGAGAATTTAAAAGCAAATGTTTTATTAGTGTGAATGTCAGTTAATATAAAATATATTATTTAAGTAATCTTAATACCTCGTTTCAGATTTTTTTCTTTAATGTTTTTGATAACACAGGACCTATTTCTTCCCATTTGGGTAAAACTAAGACCTTTTGTAGTGGCTAGATTTCAAGATAGTTTTTTTTAGGATTAATGGTAATTTTTTTCTATTGTTGCCACCATTTTCAAATAAAACTTGCTTCTGAGTTTCACATTTAGCATATATTTAAATGAACATAACATCTTTGGTATAATTCCACATGCACTTGCCTGTTTGTCCAACATGCGCATGTTGCCTGTTTGCTCACTCCATGCATTCACTCAACACACCCCACCTGGGCCACCTGCTGCCCATCTAGTATTTCCTCCCATACTCATTTGTTATGCATACCTCCCCAAACACTTCACCACCTACTCTCATTCATTCCACACCATCCCATCCACTCATTATGAACAAACACATGCTGAATTTACATAGCTATCCATTTTAGACACCCTTCTCCACACCTCCAGATGCACTGATTCTGCATACACGCCTAACCACTCTATGATCCCATTCCTTCCCCACCTCTCCATATTGTACATGCATTCTCATTCATTCTGCACAGATATCACCCTCCCCACTCTGTGCCCAGTTAATTCCATATACACATCCTCTTACTTCAAACAGTTCAGTAGTTGCCTTCTGCAAGACAGACAGTTCCCAAGGGGAGGAGTGGTTGTCACTGCTGTAACCCCAACTATTTATAAGCGAAGCCCAGTAACAGAAGGTGGCTTAATATGTTGCATGCAAGGCCTATTCCTCTCATTCAACACCCCAAGTTCATGATTCTTTACTTTATTTTCATTTCCCTTTTCTTGGGCAAGGATCTCCCATAGCCAAGATCTCCACCTTGTTCTGAGACCTGTTAGGGAGGAAAAGTGAAAAATAATTAATGTGTCTCTAAAAATCAGTTTAATCTAATGAGAAATATCACTTTCTGGAAGAATTTTTCATCTGTTGTTCACTTAATAGAGGTCTGTCAGAAATAACCCTGCTCTCTGAACCCATGTACTTGTGTTTAGGAATGGCCCATCAGTGGGGGAGCGTGGAATCTTGGAGCACAAACCTATCCTGAAATTATTATTACAGGGTAAGAACGGAATAGAACATTTGTGTTTCTGAGATGTTAATTTAGAACCTTTGACTGTGCACATCTACAGCTTATACCTCCATCCAGCAATAGAGACGGCTGACCAGAGCATCAGAATAGGCACACACCACCTCTATTTTTGGTGGAACATAGTACTCCTAAGGTGAAATTCCTCCTAGATCAGAGGGGCCTTACAAGTCCTCATACACCACTTAAAGTATTACATGATAAGGTATTAAATAGCAACTAATCCTTTGTACTCAGAATAGATTAATCTAGTGTCTAGGTTGAAAGCCAAGCTAGGAGGGTGCCCCTGTAGCTCTGAAGCTGAGAGCTAAAGATCTATGGGAGGAGGTGCTCAGGGCAAGGGAGTACTGTAGTCAGCTATGAGTACTAATGGTGATATTCTGTTTCTTCCTTCTCATCTAAGTGAGCAATTGCATGGCATTTTTGGCACTTATGCACCCAGAGCAATTCTTTTATTGGATGCATAACCCTGGCTACGTGAACAACTATGGATGATTATGTAGGTATGTCTCCAGTCAGTCAGAAGTTTCCTCTTTACACTGGCCTCCATTCATTTTAGCCACTACATTAATGGCTCAGTTTCAAAAGGAGCATCAGAAAAGAGCCTGATTAATGACTAATTGTGATGTGGTGATTAAGGTGGTGTGCTGGGAAGTCAGAGACACAGCTTCAAACTTCCTCTGGGAATGGTGGTCCTTAGAAATACGTGTTCCAGCTCCCTAGGTGAGTGCCCTCGCCATTTAGCTACCGGGGAGAAAAGATGTGATCTTTCTCCTGTTTTGTTGCCAGTTTCTACATGCCCAGTTTGCATGGTCATCCATGTGTACAGGGTTATGTGTCCAGGAATAGAATTCCTCTGGGCACGTAAGTGCAGAAATTACCTTGGAGATGACCAATCAGGACACTAGATGACCGCTCTAGAATGCCACCCTGAGAAACAGAGATGTCACTAGCAGAACATGAAACATGGAGCCAAAAGTTCCACAAGCACTTCTTTAGCAAAGTTGCTTTGATTTTAGGGAACTCTGTGGCTGGAGTGGATCTGGACCATAGTGTTAATCCCTCCAAGTTTGTGTGAATTCTGGGTGCTGTGGTGAATTTTACGTTTCGTGATTTGTACCTGTAAGACCCAGCCTAGCAGGGAAACCTCAGGATAACTGAAAGGTTCAGACTTGGTCACAATGCCTCCTGGGTCTTCAATATAGCACAGGACAACAGGAGCTCTGTCTCCTTTTCCATGATGAAGCCATCACTACCTTCAATTCTCAGCTGCTTTAATGATGGCAACAACATGCATTTGAGAGAGCCCTGTAATATACCTTGTGTATTGAACAGGGAGGAGGGATTTTTCTGTCTTTGAAAAGAAATATGCCCTTCCGCAGACCCTCAAAACATTTTTATATTCATAAAAAATAGCACAACTTTAAGGATCAGTGTCTTTGGACCTTTCAGCTATGCCCTCTTTTTGATGTCATACAACTCTCATTTCAAGTGAAGGCATAGTTAACCCCACCTTTTCAAAATTAGGCATATGTGGAACTTGAGTGATTAGGTTTTGTGCTGACCCACTGCAAGAGGATGAATTTCACCTTCTATGCAGGGTCATTAGGTATTGTACCTTAAACCTGTCACTGGTCCTGGAATTAATTTAGTTCATTTGGGGTCCTGGGCTACTGTAATTTGGAGTGTTAAATTCCATATTTTTGGAAAAGTGAAAGGTATTTGTTGGGGCTTGATTTAATTTATTTGAATCTAATCAGAGGTTTGGATTTTTGTAATAAATTAAGCTGTGGGTGTAGTGTAAGTGAATGATCAGAGATGTGTTATAAAGCACTATGTCTTTGCAAATTATTGTGTGTATTAATATTATATAATACACATTGCATGTGTCTACAGTTGCATTCAGTAATAGTATATACATTTAACTCTGTGTCACTTCATCTCTTATGAAAATAATTTACTTATGCTTGCTACATGTATTCTTTCTCTCTGCTGCTATAGCTTCCATTGAGCTCAGAACTTTAAAAGATCCAACTCTTAAGATACAGTATGACCATGTTCTGCTTTTGCCTTGAGAAAAATGTCAATTCCAGATGAAAAGAATTCTGTTGATGGTATTTTAGTTTCACGCCTCTTTAAGAATGACAATGAGAGGTTCTTCTAACTGCAGCTGCTTTTGTTAGTAGCCACATCTAATAGATTGGGCTAGATTGTGACTTCAGAGCCTCAGCCCAGACCAGGAAAAGCACTATATAGGTTGATTCTTAAAAACACAGGAATTCTACTGGGGCAATTTACTGGGCTTTGGTTGATGTAATCTGGAAGCATTGAATTTTGCCTAGTTCTAGTTGTCACAACCAGTGAGTGGTAAAGCAAAGCAGAACTATTAGGGTCCCATTCTGTTTGCCCTTGCACACATGGAATAGCATTTTATTCTACAAATATGCGCATTAAAACCAATCATAAAGAAGATGCTACTCATTGGGCACATCTACATGTGCATATTAAGGCAAAACAATAAACTCGGGTGCATATCTCACCAGAATTTATTTCTCCCAGACACTGTGTTTACATGTCTGCCAGGGAATGTAGCATGTTGAGCTGGGTCAGAGCAACCCTGGCTGGCAGGGAGTCCAGGGTGTCATCCTGACAGCCTGGGGCTGCTCCAACCCGGCTCAGTGTGTGGTGGAGGGGCTGGCTGGGGCATGAGGGTGCTCTGTTGTGGAGCTAGCCAGCAGGCAACCCCTGCATTGAAGCACCTTCATGTCCCAGCCAGCTTGGTCAGCATTTACACATGCATTGCTGTGCATGAAAAAAAAACCTCTTCAGCAGGATAGTACTTGTATTTACAAGTACTAACTTGCTGCAGAGTTTATTAGTTTCGTGCAGCCTAATAGGGCTGCACGTGTAGATGGCAAGACATTTATTGTGGAGCTAATTAGTCTACTCTGCAGTAAATGTCCTATGTAGATGTACCCACTGTGAGCAAGGGTGGAAGAATCTGGCGCTTACTGTTGTATCAACAATGGATCTTAAAATGAATAGAGTATCCTTATGACAGTTTTAAATGAAAAAAACTCACTAAGTTACCGCAGAGACTCCATAATACATAACATATGTAACATGCATCAAAAGGCTGGAAATTTCTCTTAAAAAATTAAATCTTGATCTATTATCTATCTGAGCTTATCTATTAAAAAGCACAGGCATTGATAAAATATGTGAGAGCTCTTTCTTTGGAGAATTAAAATGAACAACGTGCAGATTCCTAGGTAACTAATTTGTGTGGAAGCAATTATAGTAACATTCTGTTGATCTGCATTTCCTTTGATGTACTGTATATGTACACTACAAATCAGTGAATGCATTATGTTTACATTATTTCATTTGTTTAGATAGTATAAATGTAAATTGCATCACTGCAATTTCATATTTCACTTCAAGTTTAGGCTAGATTGTGAGACTGAAGGAAAGGCCAGCTAAGGTATTCTAACATAACAAATGCAGTGACTCAGTTGAGCTGTTTGAATTATCAGTAATTGAGAGAAGATGATGAAATAATGTCATGTTTTGTATTAACCAACATTTAATTTTTTTTAAGTCATGCAGATGGATCAATAAAGTTTTGGGATGCCTCCGCCAGTAAGTTTCTATTTTTATTATAATATATGCCTGAATTGAGGGATTTGGTTAGGGTAGTGTAAGTAGACACAATGGGATGAAATTAAGAAAAGAGTCATTAAGCTAAATATCATAAAAAAATTAAATTCTTCACAGTGAACTGCTAGTCTACAAAATAATCTTCCAAAGAGAGCAAAATGCCACAGTTTGTAAGTGAAAAACTGAAGTAGACTAAACCCCGTGAAACAAGGTATAGGGGAAAATCCTGCAGTCGGCACATGAGAATAGTCTTGACTGGATCAAACATGTCTGTCCCAGCTCTAATTACTGCCATTTCACGAGATCAGACTCATGATTTCATGAGAGGTCAGGTATTTACAGGTATTTTTTTTAAAGAGCTAAATATATCCAAAGACGATTCTAATTCAAGATGCCAGGACCCCTGGTGGGTCAACAGACTTATGTCTAAGGAGTCTGAAAAAAATGACTATGATCAATCAAAAAAGTATGTGAATACCCACACTTAGAATTGAAATGGGTCCACACCTCCATTTGAAATTTTTTAGGGGTCCACAAATGAAAGAAGGTTGAAAACCACTGTTCTAGTGTCTCTGTCCATTTTTTTTTCTGTGGCCATTCATTCCAGTGTATAATTTTTGTTTCGTTTCACCCACATAGTTTCTATGTGGGCATTTGATGCACTGGATTAGGTGTACCATATTCTAGGATAGACATGTGAATTCTGATTGATTCATTGTGGGGAGTGTTGACCGTTGTGGCAGTGGAGATGAGTTAACAGGTTTTGCATTTTTTGTTAAGACAGGGTTGGATCCCATTTGGTGCCTGTTGATCAGGGAGTTTCTTTCTGATGACTTGGATGGTGTTAAGGGGCTGTCTGAAAGTCAGGCGTTGCGGGGGCTGGGAATATTTCTCTTGAGGTATGGTCCTTTTTGAGTATCAGCTATAATTGCTTGATGATCCTTCTTCTTATTGGTTCAAGGGAATAGTAGGTGACAACCAAGGGTGTGCAGTCAATGGAGGTTTTCTTCTTGTTGCTGCAGGGAATGTGGGTGGCTCCTTTGAAGATACAATCTATTTCTGTGCTAGAAGGTCCTTGCTGGGCAAAGGCAGCTTTGATTTGGCAATGTGGGTGTCATGAGTTTTCCCCTTGGAGCAGATGTAGTGGCACCTGAGGGCCTGACTGTCATTTAAAGCTTTTTTGGTGTGTTTGGGATAATTGCTGGTTTTGAGGACACAGGTTTGGCTGTCCATGAGTTTTTTGTAGGCTACCATCCCAGATGTATATTGTTGTATCTAGACAGTTGATATTAGTGTGGGAGTATTCCAGAGAGAATTTTAATTGAAGATGATAGTTTTTGAACTTGTGGTGGAAGTCTCTTCTTCTCCCCCAGTTATGCTACTGATGCTCTGTCCAGGTTGTGGAAGCATTCTTTTAGGCCAAGTCTGCAGAATTTTTCCAATTCTTCATATATGGGTGTCTTGTCAGGTTGTTTCTCTGGACAGAAGTTCTCAACCTTTTGGAAAAGATCAAGCGAGCCCACAGTGAGCTCTGCTGCCATGCCCACATACTTTGTCTGCTTTCCTGTACCCAAGTTAGCTTATATTAAGCTAGCTCAGGTGTCGCTGCAGTCTCCAGTATTGCCATAAGCTTAGTCTAATGAATCTAGATAAAAACAGCAATGAAGATGCAGAAGCAAGGGACTCAGCATGTGATAGCTACCAGAGAACATATGCAAAGTCCCTGGAACGTTTGTACACTGATTATTGGCACATGTAAAAAGCCTGTGCCACTGCATCCATGCTATAATCACATCTTCATTTTGCTCTGTAAACATCCTGAAGATGCTGGACTTGAGCTACTGCTGTCCTAAATCTCATGCAAACAAAAGCTGCCTATACTTGTGCTCACTGGTGTTCTAATTGGAGCATCTTGGAGCAGACCTGATTAATTGAGTCTGCTCTGCGTTCTATTTAGAATGCTACAGCATTGCCACCATACCACATGTATTAAGCCCTCACATGTTTTAAAATGTCTATAGGGTGCTTAAGTAAACCTCATCAAATGAGGTTTAGATAAAGCAATCCACGACCATTTTTAAAGGTGTGGGGGCTTCATACACGTGACAGTAAGGCATCTTAATTGGAGCGGCTGCCCAAGAAGTGCTCTAATTAACCCCTCGCCCACCTCCAAGCACATGTGTAGTCAGCCATAAATACTAGTGCTACGGAAATGCCAAATAAGTTTAAAATACTGCTGAATAAGAGCGGCCAAGTTTTGCTGTCTCTCTACACAGGCAAAACTGACCAGAACAATAGTGAAAAACTCACTGGGTCTTCCTCATCCCCACTCTGCAACATTTGCACTGCGTTAAAAGTCCTACTTTTGACCTCAGCATTGAAAAAAACAGTATCCAAAAAAGAAATTTTTACAAAATATAAAATACACCTCTCTTTCAGGACTAAACAGTCATATTTCTCTGTTTACTTGCACCAGTGTTAATCTAGAGGAACCCCATTGAATGTAATGGAGTTCCACTGATATAAACTTGGTATGAGGAGAGAAGCAGGTCCTCATATTTCTCCCCATCCCAAAACAAAGCCTACTGGAGATGTTTAAATCACGTGTGAATAGTACTGTTTTTCCCTGTAGTCTACATTAATGCAGAAAGTTTTGTATCATAATATGGATCATAATATGGTTGGTTATATTGTAAAGTCTTTGGGTCTAGGGCTGCGACCAGCACAATTGGGTCCCAATCCTGATTGTAACCTCTGAACACTATTATAAATAATACACTGTTGTTATTCCATATTCGGGATGTTAACAGTATCCTATAACCCTCATGCTACTCAGGACACCAGAATTACCTATTTTTCTCCTTGAAGTGTCGTGGGATCTTTAATTTGTAATAAGATAGCAGCTACAGGCAGATAAAAGAGATCTAAGTTTAATATCTTATTAGGAAGATGGCACTGACAGTGTTGCAAGCAGTTCTGCATCTCTTCAGTATTGACTGCCAAAGGAGCACTGAGTCAGAGCTTAAGTCTAAATGTGAGACTGAAACTCGTGCTTTCTAACTTTCTGGCCCAGAAAGAGAATGCTAACAAATGACCTATTTGTAAATGTCAAATTCAGGAAATCTGGCATATAAACCTTAGCAATGCTGTTCATATTATCTTGTTCTGTTGAACTTTTATAACATTTCATAGCAAGTCACATCTAAAAGACCATCAACTAAGAAATCTAGTACCTAGGTTTGTTTAATGTTAAACAATATTTTAGATGTTTTTTAATATTTTGCAGTAACTCTACAGATGTTGTACAAGTTAAAAACCTCAAAGGTGTTTGAAAAGCAGAAATTAGGAGAAGGAAAATCCACAGCTGAGATTGTAGAAGAAGACCCTTATGCCGTTCAGATGATGTACTGGTGTCCTGAAAGCCGGATATTCTGTGTGGCAGGAGTCTCTGCATATGTTATTATTTACAGATTCAGCAAACATGAAGTTAATACTGAAATAGCAGTAAGTCCTTCAGAATTTTACTCAAATATTGATAACAGCTGGAAAGAATAAATAATTTAGGCCATAATTTCCAAGGTGGAGTGCTTCAGGTGAGCCTGCTAAAATCATATGTATGTATCGGAATAAAGCTTCCATTAAGTTGTCCAAATATAAATTCTGCAACATTATAGTTCAGCCATCTTGGGTGAATTCCCAGTTCTGTTGAAATCAATGGCAAGGCTATAATTGATTTCACTGGAATTGAATTCCATTCTTTTGGTGTAGGAACAAAATATTATACTGGATCAAGACTTGATTTGTTTTTGAGCTATTGGGTTAGTCTCTGTTTTAGTTGTGTGCTCTGAAAATGCCTGTTGCTTTACGTGCCTTTATCATTACAAGATAGGTAGCAAATGATTTTCGCAATGAAAAATAGAACAGAAAATTCTCAACATAGCATGTCACAGCATAATGTGTAAAGTAGTTTGTCTGTGTACTTTTTGATAGTCAACATTCATTTTTCACTTGCACGATAATTTTTACCACTTTTTTCAGACAAGTTTGGACTAGGTTTTAGCATGTTCACAGAATCTGTAAACAATCAAAGCATCCCTCACCACATCTCTTTGAGTTGAACCCCTTTCTGGTGTTAGGACCCAGCCAGTTACCCTTTTGGGGTTGATTCACATGATTCTCCCACTGTTAGGCCAGGCCTTGAACTGCAGTTCCCTGATACTAACCATGGTTATTTCAGCAAGTCTGAAATAACCCTTAGGTTCCCTTCCCCACAAAAGCTGCAACTAGTACCTAATATAGTAGCAAAACAGCTTTCATAATGCAAAGTATTATTTATTCAGAACTACAGCACTTAAGACAAAATACATATTAAAATACTGTGCCTTTGCATATGCATGCCTATTACTTCTGGCTGCGGGTGTGTGGATCTGGACAGACCTCATCTTCTTCTGATTCCTTCCACAAAGCCTTTCTCTCTGTCTGCTGTCCCAGACAGCACCTGAAAGTTGGTCTTCCACTGCTCCTGAAATGCCTTTGTCAGCATACAGAGCACTGACAAGTGTGCAGCTCCCTGCCATAACTGATGGCACTTCATAGGAAGGGCCATGAGTTACAGCAATCCCCCCCCAACCCAACAGACATTCTCTATTGGGTCTGGGAGAGTGGAGGATTCAACTTCACCTTGGAGCCAACTGCATGTCTTCAGCCTCTCCCCTAGCCCCCCTCCTCCCCCCCCCAGCTCCAGTGTTGTCTTCAGGATGGAAGAGGGGGAAGAAAGGAGAGGGACCTCCATCTGGGATTTGCTGAGCCTATGCTGGAGGGGAGTGTGTGGATTGGAGCCCCCCCACCTTGGAGGGGAGGAGGGGCTCCAATCCACCCATTCTTCCCCCTCCAACATGGGCTGGTTAAAACCCAGACAGAGCTCCCTTCCCCTATCCCATCCTGAAGACATCAGTGGCAACACATGCTGACAGAAGCTAATGAAGTTGCTTTGCTTTGAAGCACCTTCGTCTGAACATGTTCATTTGTTGCGCATGATCAGGCACTTTTAAAGCACACCATAACCATGCACTTTTGTCAGGGAATGGCTGTAGAGCACTTTCAGGAGGCTAAGAGTGTGACAAAACGTCACTTCTGTCAGCACCTACAGTGTCCTTTTGATCTCTAGGCTTTCAGCCCTGCAAATCAGCCATGTCACTTTGGCTTAAACCTGGAAATATGCCATTGCCTTGCAGTTGCTCCCCAGTGTTTGTTGGAACATTTGTTTATCTATAGCTATTGTGTTACCTGTTTGGTTCTTCCACAAGCACCGATTTAAGCTAGATCAGTACTTTCACATAAGAAAGTTTTATAACCCATTGTACTGTAACTTCACCTCAGTGATCAAGCCACATGCAATGTTCAGAAAACTGTTATATCTCAATATTTTATATAATTTTATAGCAGTTCTACATTTTCCACAACTGTTAATCTACCTTTTATCTTCCTTATATTTCTAACTTTGTTTTTCAGCCAAATTGCCACTAAAAATGGGATTTTGTTGAAGTAAAAATCTGTGTAAATGTACTATTTTATTTCTCAAATTTTAACTCCAGTATGGAAATGTTTACATAAATAGTTGTTCTGTAAAGTGTTGTTTCACCATGGTCAGTGAAATCTCCTGAATTTGCCTATTCCCATCTCCATCTTCTCTCTGCAGCCTCTCTGTTTGGATTCACTTGCTGTATATCCTTCTGGTTTATACCCCTGAACAGTGACTTCTCTGCAGAAAGGAGTAGGTGGCCAAGTTGTGATGCAGACACGTATCCAGGTTTCATGTGCCTTTTGGCATCTGGATCTATTTCTTCCTGTCCCAGGATGATAAATTTATGTTAGGCTCACCTTTTCTTAGTGAGTGCACAGAGGATGATCCATGAATGTCACCTCTGTGACACCACAGGAAACTTTGAGGGCAAGGAGCCTGAGGTACTTCATGTTCTATTGAAAGCATCAGTCCTTCCCTAGCATGGCTCCCTAAGCCAAGGTTTGAAGAAGAACTACAGGGAAGAGTCTGTCTGTCTTTGGAAGTACAGAGAAAGGTCCAATGACCTTCATCACAGAATAAATGGAAAATAGGTCTAGAGGAGGATCATCTAGTCCCATGCCCTGAAAAAGGCAGGATCACTTCTGTCCAAATGATCCCTGACAGATTCAGCACTTGAAAACTTCCAGTATAGGAGGTTACACAACCTCTCTAGGTAATCTTATTCAGTGCTTAACTGCTCTCAGTTAGAAATTTCTTCCTAATATCTAATCTAAATCTCCCTTGTTTCAATTAAGTCCATTATGTCTTATCCTGCCCCTGTTGACCTGCATAACACCACCTTCTTTATAACAATCAATTTTGCATTTGAAGACTGGTATCAAACTCCTCACTCAATCTTTCCTCCCCTCAAATGGTGGAACTCTAAAACAAACCCCAAGCAGCTGATGCATGTTCAAAATACCCACATGCAAATCATGAAGACAGGCACTAGACTGTAGCCCCTTCAGAGGTCTCCCCAGGAGATGGACCAAAACTGAGAGGATTCACAGAAGTGCTATGGAATTCAGAGCTGTAGGATCAGCTTTGGTTTTTCTTTTATCCTTAAGTGGAAACTAAGCCAACCAGGTTCATATGGATAGTGCCACAAGTGTTACTAAGGGTCTATGTACACTGATATTTAGGCTTAACCATGAGATTGTCCTCAACAAGCCCAAGTGAGATGATCTCTTCTTTCCCTTGTATACATTGTGTTTCTTCTTTTGGTGTGTTTTATATCAAGTTTCTTCAAATAAATTGAACAGTTTTACTCTCACAAATTTTCACCTCCCTTAGAAGTATCAGAGGCCAATTTAAAAATGTCATCAGGCTGCAGCTTCTGGGTCTTTGCTTGTAGGCAAAGATGACAAATGGATTGACTTCATAAGGATAAGGCGCATTCTTCAGGCATGTCACAGCAGAGAATCACCAATGGTGGTGTAACTAGGGTAGAATGACTAGGGCAGCCACCCTGGGCACTGACTTGAGGGTGGGGGTACAGAATAAATGGCTTCTACAGGTAGCCACATGTTTGCAGTTGCAGTCATACTGGCAGTGAAACAGCATCCAGAAGTTGCTGCTGCCCCTGTCCCCTGGGTGCCCAGCTGTGTGGCTGCATACCAATTTCCAAGCAGAAGTGGCAAAGTTTGACTTCCTTGTATGGGACAAAAGTTATTAAGCTGATGTTACTGCCTCATTCTGTCCAGCTCTTGCATGAATTGAACATGCCCTGGGGACAGCTTAAGAGGTCAAATACTACTAACAGATTTGTAACTGCTACAGATGTCATCAATAAATCTTCCTGGCAGAATAATTCCAGTTTACAACAGGAGATTCTGACTGTCATAGGCAGTGTTATTTTACAGGGCCTGATTTGGTAGCAAAGAGGCAGATGCCATCTTGAAAAAGGGGGAAGTCTGAATTGTTTTTATCTTGAGGAACCTTCGGGGGGACTAGGGTGGTGCAGGTGCTTAGGTGCATGGTTGACAGCTTAGCGATCACAAGTCCAAGGCCAAAGTAGAAGAACTCACAGCACAGCCTGTCAGATTCCAACAAATCTATGAATTCTACTAAATACCTTGTCACAAGGACACAGGCAAGGAAGGCAACTTCAGTTGTGAGGAAATCTATTATCTTTCATTTCCAGGGGCAAAACTTGCTGACCTGCAGCAGGCAAGAAGGCTACTTTGAGATACTCACTTGTCCTATTTAGATTCAGCCACGTATCTTGTCTTATTGGTCAGCCTGCATGTTACATGAAGTTCTAGAGGGCAAAACTGGTAAGATAATCAAGAACCTCTCATCAGTCTATGTTATCAGTTATATTTTCACTATTTCCACAACATCCACGCAATCACGATTTGGGTACTTCCATACTTATGTAAAAAGGCATATGGAAGAGGTCCTTCACTAATGCAAGGGGTTCTGTTGTTATTCTTTGTACCCATAAAAGAGAATATGTATCCCATAATGCATCTGTGGTGACTGAACAAACATATTAAGAAGTTTAAACAGCATGCAACAACACTGACTTGTAGTACTTTGCAGTCATATCTTGACCCCCCTCTCTCCTTGGTGATGACTCTGGTTTTGAGACAGATAGATCCTGGCAAATACTTTATGCTACCTTATGGTTTCTCTCTGTCACCAGAAATCCTCCCCAACTGTTTGGCTGATGTTGGCTAACCTGCCATGTGGCCTAAAGGAGATCACCTAATAGTTCTGTGCCCTTGTCTTCCATCCCAATCTTTTGCTGGACTTACGAGTTTACACTGCAAATTCCTTAGGGCAAGGACTCTGCCTTCCTATCTCTTTGTACAGTACTTAGCTCAGGGGACCCCTAATCCAACTGGATCTTCTGGGCACAACTGTAGTACAAATGAGAATATGTTCTCTTTCCTCTGGGTTGAGGTCAACCCAGATAGTAGGGATACCATTCCATTGCTTCCTGGATTGTTCTCTGCATCAGCTTTCTTTGAAAATGCTATTCATCATAGCTGTAATTTCAGATCCTTCTTACAGTATGCACTGCATCCCTAACCCAAATTCTTATCAAAAGAGGGATCCTAACTTCCCTCTCAAGCTGAACATTAGCCAGTCTGCATTTTTCCTCTTTCCTTGTTCACATTCAGGGAGTCCAGCTTTTGCACAACAGTTGGAAAAGTGTCTTATATATTCATTGTCTAAATAGGACCAAACTGGTGCGCAAGACTCACAGATGTATGTGAAAGCAAGACCAGGAAGGAGGCTATCCCAGGACAAGTGAATTAGATCATGTATGTTTAACTGCTGGAGTCAGATAGATGTCTACCCTCTTGTGCAACCTAAGGCATATTCATCTGGGTCTAACCACAGCTTCCACAAGTCTCCGTGACTGAAATGCACAGGTCCTGTTAGAGCTGTGTGAACATCCTTGTGCAGCTTCACTCCTCGAAGTTTTAGTTTGCTGCGCCCTTAGTCATTTAAGGCACATTACACCGCCAAATTTCCTACAGCGGCTAGAATTAATGCACAATACGCCACTGAGACATGCAAACACTGACACCATTAAAGCAGTGCAAAAGCATTTAGCCCTCTTTAAAGTTTCGTGCACACATGTGTCTCATTCTGTCTTCACAGCCTTAGTTTCTAAATCTCAGTCTTTGATTCTAGATCTGTTGGCCAATTCAGGAGAGCAGTCCTGCAGTCACTGTTCACTTGGGGTGGCATTCTGTTTCCTTCCTGGCCATCCAAATGTTTAGATTTGGTCATCTGCTTTCCATCTAAATGCCAAAAATGCCACTTGCCTGCAGGTGGGAATTCTGTTCCTGGGCATGAAAACTTGCAAGCATATGTTATTATCTATGCCTTCTCAGGCAGTGGCCCCTGGCCCTGATCTCAGCCCTTCTTGGGCATTGGGCCCCTGGGCCTGTATATTAGCACATTAAGTCCGGCTCCAAGCGGGGCTTAAAGCAGTTGCATGCCCTTCAAGCACTGCTGGGACCTCCACCTCCCATTACTAGTCCCAAACCTGGTCCACCAGTTAAATATAACAAAAGAAAAAGCCCTCTGGCTGTAACATAGTCTCTTCCCACACTGGGTTTCAACATAAACAAGCTCCTTGGCTGAGCCAACACACTGCCCCCCATACTGGGTCCTATTTCTCTGCAAGTTGTAGGCATTTTGCTTGCAGATCTCAGAGCCTCTCAAGTCAGCTAGGCAGTCCCCTTCAGCCTTCCTACTCAGAAGCTCTTTCTCTTTCAGCCTACATAGCCAGACTGACTGACTGGTGTCAGGCACTGGCTTTATGTGCCCCCTAAGTCCAGCCCCATCCAGTCATGTGTTCCCCTTCTATGCCTGAGGACCAGTCTGTTTTCCCTGTTAGGGCTTGGCTCAGCTGACTGCAGCTCTGGGCTTCTGAGGCTTCAGGGCTTCTCCTGCCCTGTTTACAGCTTACTGCTCTGTGACAGTCTTCTTGGGAAGGTTACTTCTTCCCACCCCAGGGCAGCCACTATCCATGTAGCTACAGCCCTGTCTGTTTGCCTGTTAGTTGGCAGCTGGTTTGCAAGCAGTTAGCCTGTGTATTAGCTACCAGCCTCCCCAAAGCCAGCTTAGTCTACTCCATCTCCCTCTTAAAGTAATAGGAACCCTCTAACTCCCTATTACACTCTCCATCACAAAGATCTAATTTGGACAGTTCCCAAAGGAGGTGAGGCACGTATGACCATAGTAACTGAGATTCGCAGAATGATTGCTCCTGTGAATTCACATTCCCTGCCCACCTTCCCTTCTCTTTTGGGGTCTTGGGCTAGTTTTCCTAAATTAGTGAAAAGAGTTAAAGGATGGTTGGGGCCACATCCTCTGACATCGCCAGAGAACATGGAGCAAGAAAACTGTTTGGACTTTGCTTGGTAAAACGACTGAAGAGCCCATGCAAGGAATATGGTTCTCCAGTGAATGTGGAATCATAACAATTTGTTATCTCGCATAACAAATCCATGGGGAAGGAAGATCACCAGTTAACATGATCTGTTCTACATGTTGGCTGAAACCTAGGTGGAGAGTACAGTACTGGCAGTGAGAAGGTGGGGGTGTAGATGAGCCTTTGCACATAATTTAGTTAAGTTGCTTAGAAAAATAATATTAGACTAGTTACAGTAACTGCTGAGGATACTGATTGATATTTTTAAGTACTGGCTGGATTGTTGTATGATGTAGTGTGAGTGCTAGATTTCCTCTTCATCAGAAGTGGTGGCAATCTCCATTTCATAGAAATATACACTTTGGTATTTCTCTACCTGCTCTGGGATATGTGGAAAACTTAGCTGCTGGTGCTGATGTTTGGTTAAAAAAAAAAAGTAATAATCTTTGCTAACAGCAAATGGCAACAAAAATGTATTTTTTTAGGTGTTGAAACAGAATTATTGATAGTCATTTAAAAGCAGTGAAGTCTGAGGTAGATTGTTTTATTAAATTATAACTTAGATTTTTATTTACTTTAAGTCATTAGAGGTGCGGCTTCAGTATGAAGTAGAAGATATCATTACTCCTGAACCAGAAATAATTCCTCCGTTTCCAGATGCCTCATCCCAGCTTCCTTCCTTAAAGAACCTTTCAGGCAGTACCAACACTGTTGCTTGTGAAGGAATGATGAAGGACAGTATCCCATGCCTTAGGTAAGACTGTGTGCTTGTTTAAAGACTTATTCTTCCACAGGGCATGGTACTCACTCAAATAGATTATATTAAACAAATTCATTAATTACCAAGAAAAGGAGATAAACATTCTGTTAATAACATTCAAGATAATACTGAGCTGGGCTACATAACAAACATGCATAAGAACAGAGAAATCTTTAATTGGTTAGACATGTGTCCAGAAAATACCAAATTAGATTCAGTCTGGAGATTCAGTAAATCAGGGGGGAAAGATCTGAAAATAAAGATTAAAGGAAGAAACTTGATAAGCAGTTATACAAAAGGAAATTTAATGTTGATGGTGGTTTATAAATTTGACCTAGATTTGGGATATGAAGTGGCAGCAAAAGTCCCTACAATTTTCAGCTGAATACAAGTATGTCAACATGGGTGAGCCTTTAGGTTATACTACTGACCCTTGAGCAACTGAGGCCGCATATAAGTGTTACATTTCTGCTGGGGAAATCACCATTCTCTTGGCAGAAATTGCTAGTGTACAGAAGTTCATTCATTTTTTACCAAAGGAAACATTCCCCCTCTGGGAAGAAGCTCTTCCAGATTAACATCTAAAAGA